AAGCACATCATTCTTTATATGAAGCTTTGTATTTAAGTAATAGACACTTTGGATTGGACAACACATGCTGAAAAATGTCCAATTCGTGTGCATGAAAATGAGGGAAACACGACGGATCAAAACACAACAAAATCCCCATTAGCCAATCACGTGGCAGGAGAAAGCACGACTGACACACGTTCAAATTTTGATAAATCATCGACATTTCTATTTTTCGTCGAGTTTTGGGTTAAAATAAAGAGGCCCTCTGGTCAACGAAATATTTTGTATCTGTTGCCGTCGTCTTCGTCGTTTAGTTTCAGTCAGAACACCCTGTTCTGTTAGAGAACATCCCCACTGCCCTGTCAGTCAGGTAGCAGCATTCTGCTAGCTGTGTAGGAGGTTTTTGTGCCTTTTAGAGGCTTTTCCTCAGGTAGAAGACAGCGCAGACATTTGTCACGAAACATCAAAGATGTCGTGGCCAATCATAGTGTAGTCTGATTGGCTGTTTTTCTCTCCCGTCAGAACTAATATACTTTCAGTTCTTCCTCCATCCACACACGTGTCTGCTGCTGCTTCCTGCCCTCTCCACTGGTTATGAGCCTTACTACTGCTTCCTCTGGCGGGTCACGGTGAAGAATACCATCGTGATGACCGAGACAGAGTTACCCACGATGACTATCGTGAGGTTTTCGCGACGACTACCGTGGCAACGATCACGAAGTAGACCGCGTCGGCGACTGTGTTTACCGAAAAGAACACCGCGACGAATATTCCGTGAAGGCTACTGTGATAACGATCACGAAGTGACCGCGACGAAAAATGTCCGCGAAAAATATGACCCCGTCGACAACTACATTGGGACTACGAGTGCATTATGTCCGCGAAGACTCGCGTCGACAACGTCCACGAACGCACTGATTACCTCTTTAAGGTATTATCATGATATATTTTGCGATATATTTCACGTAGATTATCGCGGCGATTACGTTCGCGAAGACGTTAATGGCTCCGTGCCACAAGACTACCCAGGTACTACACTATATAATCCGCGACAATTTGCCCGCGTAGATTATCAAGCCAAGTACCACGGCGGCTGCCGTGACTGTTGTGCGTGATTTACTGCAACAACCGCAGTCGACGCGCTCCGCCCACTGACTAATGCTGCGCCCCACCGAGTAGCAGCGAATTTCGCGCCTCGACATGTACGTTCGTGTCTCAGAACACACGTGTCCACGTGACCAGACTATTTATTGATGTCTTCACGCACACATGTCGGCATTTATGCCTCGACAGGTTATCGATGAACAACATTCACGTGTTGCATTTTTCGGGACTTTTAGAAGTCAACCGACAAATCAAGTACACATCATACTTTCGATATTATTAGTGGACATTAGTCCGTAATATTGCTGGTGCAGCCGATGCCCACCAACACAGTTGTTTGGCGTGGATCAGTTCGACTCGATGTCGCTGGCACATACGGCGACCGAACATGATTTATCTGAAGGATGGTTATCACATCCTAGATAATTTGTTGGACGTGTCCTACACATGGATAGATGTCACCTCCATCACTCCAACCGAGTGGAAGCTCTCCACGATCACCATCATTTCTCGCACAAAGTTACTTCATGGTATTTACCACAGTTATTGCGGGTGAAGAAATATTTTGCGCAGTGTTCCTCATGAACACCCTGCAACTACCACAATTAGTGGGGGACACGCCGCATCGTCTGTGGCATCAATGCCATGTAGACTACGGCGACTAAGTGTATTGGGTGCATGCCTTACACCCTTGTAAGCACATCCATGCGTGTGAACAAGCTGCCTCCGAGGCATGTTGTGCACGTACAGTGGCTCACCCGATACTTCTCGAGGGTTCAAGCTACTCAACATTGAGGCACAAACCTTGTGCTCATGTATGCCTTCACCCCTGGGGGGGGTAAATGGACGATACCTCGACTTTCATTTGGGGAGGCTGCCACATCTGCGCCTTCACCGTTTGGGGGGGCGATGACCACCACACCTCTACCCATACCTGGGGAGGTTATAGTTTGTGGTTCGGTGTACGCAGTTTGGCACGTACATGTCGTACTGGAAGTGATAGACACTACTCCAATTGCCCCTTCGGGAGGCATCAACTTTGTCATACTCCGCCTCCACCACGGAAGTTATCCACAACTCCGACGTCCAAACGTCGTCGATTGTTGTTCAACAACCCGTACCAATGGGCGTCGAAGATGACGAACTGGTCCTCATGGCTCCCTACTGGACATGCTGCAACCTATCAAACAAGGGTGCGCTTTCAGATGCACGACCTTGGGGTCCTCAAGTCTATTCTCGGATTTACATTGTTCGAGATCGTTCGGCTCAAACTCTCGCAATGCATCAGCCCCAATATGCAACCTCGAACATCGTGAGGTTTAGCATGGAGAATTCAAAACCAACCCTCACTCCAATGGAGTTCAAGGTCAAGCTGTCTGAGTAGATTTATCCTCAGAACGATGCAGAACGCCAGTTCATGGTGGGCACGACACATTCGTCGGTCGTCGACAGCATCATGAATCTCATGATCAGCACCCGACTAGACCTGGCATGCGTCGCCCTACAACT